CACTCAGTCTACCATGGTATACATATATATGACTAAGACTACAAGATATATACATATATCACTCAGTCTACCATGGTATACATATATACGACTAAGACTACAAGATATATAAATATATCACTCAGTCTACCATGGTATACATATATACCACTCAGTCTACCATGAGGTACATATGTACCACTCAGTCTACCATGGTATACATATATACCACTCAGTCTACCATGGTATACATATATATGACTAAGACTACAAGATATATACATATATCACTCAGTCTACCATGAGGTACATATATACCACTCAGTCTCCCATGAGGTACATATATACCACTCAGTATACATTGGTATACATATATACAACTAAGACTATACAATATATATATACCACCAAGACTACATGATATATACATATATCACTCAGTCTACCATGAGGTACATATATACCACTCAGTATACAATGGTATACATATATACAACTAAGACTATACAATATATATATATACCACCAAGACTACATGATATATACATATACCACCAAGACTACATGATATATACATATACCACTAAGACTACATGATATATAAATATATCACCCAGTCTACCATGGTATACATATATACCACTCGGTATACAATGGTATACATATATATTTCACTATAAGACTACATGATATATACATATATCACTCAGTCTACCATGAGGTACATATATACCATTCAATTTACTATGATATACATATTTAACATAGTTCTCCTTCAATCATGGTACATGTTTACAAATAATTAACTCAATAAATAAATAGTATATATATACTACTCAGTCTACTATTGTATACATATATACCACGCAGTCTACCACGGTATGTCATATATACCACTCAGTCTATCATGGTATACATATATACCATTATAAGACTTCATGATATATACATATATCACTCAGTCTACCATGGTATGTACATATATACCACTCAGTATACAATGGTATAGATATATACCATTATAAGACTTCATGATATATACATATATCACTCAGTCTACCATGAGGTACATATATACCACTCAGTCTATCATGGTATACATACATACCACATACTCTACCATATTGGTATACATATACACTTCTCAGTCTATGATGGTATACATACATACCATTCACCCTAACATATTGGTATCCATATGTACCACATCATCAACCATATAATATGCAATAATACCACTCAGTCTCCCATGGTATGTACATATATACCACTCAGTCTGCAATATTGGTATCCATATGTACCACATACTCTACCATATAATATACATTAATACGACTTAGTCTACATGGTATACATATGTACCAGTCAATCTACCATGGTATGTCATATATACCAATCAGACTCCTTCCATCAGTCTCGAATACAACCATTTTCTCCACTTCTTGTGTTTCTATGTTCTCCTCTTCTTGGTGAACCTAGTAAATTGCCTCTTGCAAATGTTTTGCCACTTTTACCAGAACTTCCTTTATTTCTTTGCAGATATAAAAATATATACTATTCAATCTGCCATATTATATACATACTTTGTACGTACCACTCCGTTTACGATGGTTTGTTGTACATACCACTCAGTCTACCGTGGTATACATATATACCACTCAGTCTACCGTGGTATACATATATACCACTCAGTCTATCATGGTATACATATATACCACTCAGTCTACCACGGTATCTCATATATCCCACTCAGTCTACCACGGTATGTCATATATACCACTCAGTCTACCACGGTATCTCATATATACCACTCAGTCTACCACGGTATACATATGTACCACTCAGTCTACCACGGTATCTCATATATACCACTCAGTCTATCATGGTATACATACATACCACTCAGTCTACCACGGTATCTCATATATACCACTCAGTCTATCATGGTATACATATATACCACTCAGTCTACCACGGTATGTCATATATACCACTCAGTCTACCATGGTATACATATGTACCACTCAGTCTACCACAGTATCTCATATATATCACTCAGTCTACCACGGTATGTCATATATACCACTCAGTCTACCATGGTATACATATGTACCACTCAGTCTACCACGGTATCTCATATATACCACTCAGTCTACCACGGTATGTCATATATACCACTCAGTCTACCATGGTATACATATGTACCACTCAGTCTACCACAGTATCTCATATATATCACTCAGTCTACCACGGTATGTCATATATACCACTCAGTCTACCATGGTATACATATGTACCACTCAGTCTACCACGGTATCTCATATATACCACTCAGTCTACCACGGTATGTCATATATACCACTCAGTCTATCATGGTATACATATGTACCACTCAGTCTACCACGGTATCTCATATATACCACTCAGTCTATCATGGTATACATATATACCACTCAGTCTACCACGTTACCACTAAGTCTATCATGGTATACATATGTACCACTCAGTCTACCACAGTATGTCATATATACCACTCAGTCTACCACAGTATGTCATAAATACCACTCAGTCTACCACAATATGTCATATATACCACTCAGTCTACCACAGTATGTCATATATACCACTCAGTCTAACACGGTATGTCATATATACCACTCAGTCTACCACGGGATGTCATATATACCACTCAGTCTACCACGGGATGTCATATATACCACTCAGTCTACCACGGGATGTCATATATACCACTCAGTCTACCACGGTATGTAATATATACCACTCAGTCTACCACAGTATCTCATATATATCACTCAGTCTACCACGGTATGTCATATATTCCACTCAGTCTACCACAGTATGTCATATATCCCACTCAGTCTATCATGGTATACATATATATACATATATCACTCAGTCTACCATGAGGTACATATATACCACTCAGTCTACCATGAGGTACATATGTACCACTCAGTCTACCATGGTATACATATATACCTCTCAGTCTATCATGGTATACATATCTACCACTCAGTCTACCTCGGTATGTCATATATTCCACTCAGTCTTCCACAGTATGTCATATATACCACTCAGTCTACCACGGTATGTCATATATACCACTCAGTCTACCACAGTATCTCATATATACCATTCAGACTACTGTGGTTTACATATTACTTGATATCACTTTCTCAGTCTAAAATAATTGTTCCCTCTCTGTCAATCTCATATTCATCTACTTCCTCCTCTTCTTCCATTTCTACATTTTCGTCTTCCTCTTCCTGGTGAACCCAGTTAATTGCCTCTAATAAATGTTTTGCCAGTTTTACCAGAACTTCCTCTATTCCTTTGCGGCTGTCCATGACAAAACATCTTATTGTCGGCATCTTTTCTCCATAAACGTTCTTGCCTGGCTGATGGTCGAAAAGTAATTTCTTTCGATCAAGTTGAATAAAGATGAACTGGTAACCATCCGAAATGATGTTGAACAATGATAAAGGATCAACCTGTTGGCTGGTAGGGTTGGCTCTGGTCATCCTCCCATAGACTTCAGCTTGTAGAGCAGAGAGTTGGATAATTCCTTGCACGACTGACTCTGGACTGATTCCGCTCCCATAGAGTCGACTCTTTGCTTCAACCAGACCCACCACTTCATTTTTATAGTGAATTCGATAATCAAATGTACAGTTTGGCAGATTTTTATTCTTGTAAGATTTCTCAGTTTCAATGTTCAGTTGCATTTCTTTCGCAAAAGGAATCAAAATTGTATCTAGAAGGATTCAGACATCTGCCTCCGTTCCCCTAATGTCGCTCAAATTGTAGATGTCACCACTACCTGTTTCGGGTTGTCGATGACCGATAGATGATTTGTGAGGGGCAAAAATCACCTGCTGAACTGTTTCAATTTGACTTAATGTTTGCCTGACAGTTCTATCAATGATGTTTTGAAAACCTTCAAGTTCCTTTTTTTCTTCAATTTCTCCAACAGATTGTTTGAAATCCACATATTTTGACAGCATTTCTAATGTCCACTGGCTACAAGGAGTATCAACATCAGCTTTGCGTTTGTTTTTATTTGTATAACGTTGTCGAACACGATTTGTCTCTATGTTTTCTTTGATTTCAGAAATTTCTGCAGCTGCAAGAATGGTAGGTACTTTCGCCTTTTTGGGACAGGCCTTTTGATAGAGACATTTTACAAAGTCTCCTTTTTTTCCATTTGCTTCAAGTTTATAAGTTTTGTCAGGATGGGATGAAGATGCAGCCTTTTCTCCAGGCCTCTGGACAGAACTGAACATCGCCTCCTGAGCGACCTTTGACTTATTTTCAGACACTTCACTGTCACACTTTTCCTCCACCTGAGCTTCTACGCTCAAAGCTTCCAGCGTACCTGGTTCTAGCAATTTGGTAGTTTGCTTCCGAAGCACCTCAGGCGAGATGGAATTTGCTTCAACCTTGACAGAATCTGAAATATTTTCAAACATATCTGGTTCTATCACTTTGGTGCTTTGCTTCCGAAGTACCTCAGAGGAGGAATCTGATTCAACCTTGACCAAATCTAAAACATCATCCATGTGGCTCCTCGCCTTTTGTGTTCCCTCTTCAAATTTATCTGAAAAGCCAGGATCTGTTTTGTCCACTCCCAAACCTTTACTAGCTGTCTGATTTCCTGTGGTGTTTGAACCATGTTTGTTTACTTGTGTATTGCTTGAAGGAGTTATTTTACCTTTAGGTACCTTGGAAGGGGTTACTGCATCACCAGGAGCGTCCTCAGACCTACTGCCAGGTACAGTATGTACATAGTAGTCATGTTTCTCATCATATCCCTCAGCACTTGTTTTTAATTTCTTAAAAGATGAAGGTGTAAGTTCTGTTTCAATTTTCTGACCACTGGTTCCAAGTAGTTGCCTGCTTAGGTTTGTTGAGAAACAATCAATATTACCCAGAAACACATCCTTCTTCTGCTTCTCAGGTGTGAAATAACTCTTTGATTTCTTACCTAGACTGGACAAGAAATGTCGCCAATCGTAATAATTCTCTTGATTTTCTGTAGCCATGTTTTAATAAACATTCTGAAATGTAAAAATAAAAAGCTTTGGTAAATATTTTCATTCATGACCTATAAACTGTACACATATTATATCATTCAATATCGTACATAGGCGGATTGGTCGAGGGGTTAACACTCCAGCCTTCCACGCAGGCGACCGGGGTTCGATCTCCGAAGTTGTCGTATGCATGGATATTCAGAGAAAGTGTTTTTCTCCTGCACACACAACTCCCAACAACACAGGTGGAGTATAAAATAGTCTGGGGTGGATGTTGCGGTATCTGTGCTGTAGCATTCAAGTGAGGTGGCACTATAAATGATATCGTTGGAAGCATGGTTCCACTACAAACAGAACACATTACATCTCCAGCACACACGCATGTATACACACAGAAGGAGATATTAGTCAGGTGGCATAGGACTAGTAGTTAGCGCCTGATAAGGCAGCTCCTGCGAATTCCTCAAAATTGTATTGATTAATGTATATGCTAATTGTATCAATTATATATCTATGTACTGTAAAGCACTTAATAGTGGGGTTTATGTTAGCTAGATAGGGCACTATATCAAATGTTGTATATTACTATCATTATTATTATAAATACTATAAAAAAGAGTTGAAGTATGATATCAATCTAGTTGCTCGTTACCACAGTAATGATAATAATATTATATACAACATTTATATAGCACCCTATATAATTTGTAAAATTACATATTTCTAAGCGCTTTACAACATATGGATAATTGTGAAACAAAAACAAAAGCTTACAATCACTTTTTTACATTAGGCAAGCAGATATTATCATCGCAATGTGCACATAAATAAATAAAGGGTAGGATTTACATGACGTCTCTGCAAAGAGCCTAAAATGCAGACCTGAGGTGAGTTTTGATGTCCCTCTTGAATTTGGCCAGGGGATTTGACTTTCTAATGGCAGATAGTAAGCTATTCCACAGGCCGAAGCCCTCTCAAAGCACCAGTTTCCATAGGTCATAGTACGAGATTTTGGGACACACAACAATGATTCTGACGCCGACCGCAGTGATTGTGACGGCTGATACAGGGTAACAAGCTCCTGTAGGTACTGAGGAGCTGTTCCATTCAGTGCCTTGTATGTGTACACCAAAATTTTGTACTGCGACCTGTATTGTACAGGTAACCAGTGCAATGAATATAGCACAGGTGTGATGTGCTCTAGCTCTCTTTCGAGTATGAGTAACCAGACATGCTGCAGTGTTCTGGACCCTCTGCAGATGACTAGTTAGTGTGTCAGATATACCACAGAGCAGGGCATTACCATAATCCAACCAAGAGGTAACATTAGTAAATGCACCAAAATCTTGCATGCATCTGCAGTTATAAACTGCCGGATATAGCCGATGTTCCTGATCTGGTAGTAAAAGGATTTGGTAATAGCATTCACTTGTTTCGACTAACTCTACTAGAGTGACTTAACTTTTAGTATTTAACCTATTTACCCCCAAAGTCACATTTGAACCTTACCAAATCAAAAATTGGGCAAGTCCAGATTAAATATGTAGGGGTGGATGATTAATTACCTAAACACTGGACAAGTAATTGATCTGTTTTCCCTTTGTTATGCATGAAATGTATTTGAATACTTTTTATTCTGCATAAAAAGTATCCAAATACTTGTATACCCCTACAAAAAAATCCCCTTCCCACTTATAAAGTACACTCTTACTAAAAATCATAAATTTCTGTCAATAATGTAAATCTAAAGAAGTTGTGAAGAGAATATTGAATCATTTATCCATCAGCCTGCTAGCAGAGCCATTTGGAAAATGTGAGCTCTAGCTGTTTCATTTGGGCCAAATATGGTTCTCTGGGTAGTGTAGACCATAAAACATAGTAAGATGGCTGCATTTGATAGTAATTCCCACTGATCACCGATGAACAGGTATATCGATTGGTCAGAGCATCTGTCTAGAGATAGGATTGGTCCCAGGTTAGAGTCCATATCTGGCCCTGCATTTCACTTCTCCTTACAACTGTATTAAAATACTTCATTTCTAACAAACAAAAAAGTCTTATTTAAAAATTGTTTTCCAGAGGAACCCACACCAGCCATTTATCTGTCAAAATGTCTAAGTCTAGTGTCCAGGCCAGAGGAACCCACATCAGACATCTATCTATCAAAATGCCTGGTGTCAGGGCCAGGGGAACCCATACCAGAAATCTATCTATCAAAATGTCTAAGTCTGCATGGTGTCAGGGCCAGATTGAGGAACCCACACCAGACATCTATCTATCAAAATGCCTGGTGTCTGAGGGCCAGAGGAACTCAAACCAGACATCTACATTTGTATCTGTCAAAGTGTCTATAAGTTATGATGTCATGAATGCAGGGCCAGAGGATTTAACTCAAGCTAGGGGGTTTAATATTTCCAAGCACTGTACACATTACTCTAACACAAGCACAGGAAAGCTAGCAAGGGAGTGAGTGGAAGTCTACTTTTCAAATGATAGAGGAAGGCATATGGTACATGCAGAGAAGCCATCATCACACTGTTGTAGAGAGATACTTATGGGAGCATAGCTTATCCGATAGAAAAAAAGGCTGACCAGCGGATCGAGTATAACTCTGCTGACCAGAACATCAGCAGAGGAATCAGGGCTGGAACCTTTACACTGACATTGGTCTGCAGCCCTGACCCACAGGGGTTCATTACAAATGTCTGAAATACACACATATGCTACACTGATATGGGTCACAGCACACATAAACGTACATACAGTGTACATGTATCAGTATAGCATATACGTGTATTTCATACATTTGTAATGAACCCCCCAAGTGTGTCGGACGTCAATTAAGGGCGGTCACATATCAATGAACAGTTTAAGACCACTGCACCATATGCTGGTACATCCATATATGGCACACTGATTGTACTTGAGTGAACCTGCTACTATTACTCACATTAGTCATCATCTTGTTTCTCTGAAAATCATTTTCTCTTATTTTCAGATGTACACATGGATAACAGAGGTAAAAATGAACAAGCTTTTCAGAGAAACTTGCGTTCCTTTAGTAAAATAGTTGTAATTATACTTTAATGAGTTAATTTTAATCCAGAAATAAAAATCTCATTTTCCAGAAATCGACCCTCGCCTCCGGATATGTTCTTGATCCTTGTCAGGTTTACGGCCTCTCTATCATTTTCTTTAATTACCCAGTGGCGGATCCAGAGGGGTTTTCTGGGCTTCAGGAACCCCCCCCACCCTGAGAATTTTCTTTAAAAATCATGTATTTTCACCATTTTCCTCAATTTTTCCCCATGTGGAAACCCCCCCATGAAATTTGGAAACCCCCCCCAGATAGGTCTCTGGATCCGCCACTGGTAATACCTGTTCTTATATTTGGTGTGTTTTATGGATAAATCAGGCCAATTTACCATCAGATGTGTCGTTTCCACTTTGCACCCTACTGTACAAAGCTCGTTGTGGTAGAAGCCGCCAAGTCTGATCTAGGACAAGCGAAACGCAAGACGCTGTGTGTAGACGGATTGTATAGTCACCTGCAAGCTGGTTTAATCCATGTTGTATAGACCCTTAACACATTTTTGTTTTCGATACAAACGCGGAGGTGATCCTGACGTAGATGGGAAACCGAAAGTAGCTCGGGGAAAACAGGAAGTTTATTTTTATTACCACACGTTTCTTAGAACAGCTAGGTTCTGGGAACATGATGGCGTTAACGTCACAGCTCATACATTGTGAGGTAGGCTGCCTACGACTGATATAATTCCTTATATTATAGGATAATGAAAACAACAGGAACTTATTCACACGGTTGGTAGGTATTTTGCATTATCGACGGTAATGAGGGATTATTACGAACTTCTTAATCGCATGAGGTAACCAGTTTCTGACGGTCACACTAGCTAATGAGTGCCCAGCGGAGAAATGTGTGCCCAACGGTATTTTTTCTCATCAGACAATTCGTTAAAATGACATTTTTATGTTTTTTTCTTCTGATTTTTTTTACAGAAAATGCCAAAAATAACCTAACATTTGTAAAAAGATAAAATTTTTACCTTGGATGCATTAGTGGAAATCATGTTAATTTACCTATTAAATTAGGCTGATTTTATTCCTGCAGGAAAATGCTTGCCCAGCAAGGTTTTCTGTCCACCTCAGGTCGCCGACTATAAGGTGACAGTACCCAAATCGGAGCACCAAACCATCATTTTTTAAATCATTGAAAAATCTGTGGAGGAATTCTATTCATTTCTACGTATACCATAATGTTTTAGTTTATGGTTTAGGAGAGAATGACTGACCTTGTCGAAAGCCTTAGCAAAGTCCATTATGAGGATATCTGTTTGGCGTCCCTCATCAAGATTCTTTGAGATGTCATCCACAAATTAAAGAAGTTGGGTTTCGCATGATCGCGATTTGTGAAAACCATGTTGGAAGGGATACAATATGTTATGGGTATCGGCATGGGTCATGATAGTAGAGACCACAATGTGTTCCATAATTTTGCTACAGATACAGGTCAGAGATATGGGCCTGTAGTTTTATGGGTGAAATTTTGGACCCTTTTTAGCTAAGGCGTTAGCCGCCAGCTATTGGTATTACTTTAGTTAATGAGCTCAGATATTCATAAATGTCGATTTCACACAGACGGCCTCTAGCGGTAGTCACTGGTACTAAATTGAATCATATACCGGACCTACTGTCTTTATTATGCGTAACTTTGGACTCAAATGCACTTGAATGGCTTGTAAATATCATTACTTTTCTTTATAGAACATATGATCTTATCACAACGTCGTATTCTTATTGAAAATGCACCCTGTTTATCTCAATCGGGAACTGCTACTTGAATGTAGGTCATGCATGCTACACGCAACTTCCGGTAAAAATACTTCAGTTACTAATAATGAGCTCAGATATTCATAAACGAGACATAACGTCACCTTCTAGTAATACTAAACAAACTGCAAATAAAATCCATTACCACGGACTCAAGTTCACTCAAACGTCATTGGATATAATCTTATTCTTAGTTAGAACTAAGTATCCTTCTAAAACTTCGTATTTACTCTTGGAACTGTCGCTGGATTAACCCTTTACACGGAAATATTGTCCTGTGATTGGCTAAAATTGGTGACATTTACGTCCCTGTTTACAATTATATATTGCGTGGTCAGAGCTATGAAGCGGTCCTGTTCCAACTAACTGAGGATAATCAAAAGTGCTAATCAGTAATAATATATCTGATTCACGCTTCATATGATTATAATGTTATCAAAATATTGCATATTCGTTCATCGTTAAAATAACAAATCCTTACTAAAAACTCTAAAAAAAGAAACGACGGCCATGTTAGATCACGCGTGATGTTATCCGTTTCCTTATATGGCCTTCACGGCCAAATATAGTATTACTACTGATGCGGTCATGTTTACTACAATTTCCATATTTGGTCATGACACCCATATTTAGACGTCTGACCTATATCGGAAAGATTGAGGAAGTTTCCAACATGGCAGTCAATTAGGATTTCGCTTGCACTTGTTACGTAAACTTGATAATTTAACGAAATATAAGGCGGAGTATAACTTACAATTATGTAGGAGATCAACATAAAAAGTTCATATTACAAACCTATTAATGGATACGGATCCTGTCAATTAATTCTAAAATCGCCTCCGTGTGATTCACACCAGGCTTGCCTAACTAAAATGGGATCAACCGGCCGGGGCAGATGAGACCGGGAATCATGTTAGAACTAGCCACTGTCCTTCTCTAGTTCCATATTGGTATTCTAACCTGAAGGCTTTTTTTACCTTCGCAGTATTATCATTTTGTTCTATTTTCATCATAAGATATGCTATTGCATTTTTATATCGCCTTCTCGCTAATTACAGCTCAGCCAGAAACGAAAATATGCTCCGATAGGCCTACATTTTATATGTCTGTTGGTGTGATTTGTGTTTTTCGTTTATTGAAGTATTACCATATAACAGGACTCTTTTATTTCAATATACACAAAAACAACAACACCTTCGGAATGATTTCAGACATATACTGCGGGAAAACACGAGTGATCTCCCTTACATTTAGACATGCGCACATTTTACTTTCGTTTTGTGTAGGCCTAGACATCATTCGCAACGCGAAGCGGAAAAGACGAAAATGCAGGCGAGTGTTGACTTAATGTTAGGCATGTTGTTTAAGCAGCATTGACAATGAACAATATACATACACTTCTGCAACGTTTACCTACTACTGATTCATAAATAAGGCTATGTATCCCGATTTCGGTGACTTGTGGCCAAGCATGCGGCCGAAGCCGCAGAGAATGGCGCATGTTGTCAGCGGCGATGACAAAAAGGAAGGTGCTTCTACGGTATGTATAGCAGTTATTATGCAAAAACAAACATAATAAACGGACGTTTTACTCTAGTGAATTACAGCGTCACGAGGAACGTCTTTCTCCAGACGTGTTGCAAAATTTTCGAACTGCTTAGTTGCAAACTGATTTCACTTAAGCGTTGTTTGTGAGGATATTTGGCCTTACATTTCTTCTCATTCAGTTAAAAAAAANGACTTCATGAACTTTTTCAAAAGGCTGCAAGAACTATACCAACAGTGACATGACATTTTGAAATCTGTCAGTTACTTTATAGAGGAGGAACCTCTGACTAAATCATTTTCTCTCAGACACATGAAAGCCGAGTCCACAGATCCTTCCATCAGCGAATAGTTCAAATGTAGTTCAAATGCTTTCCTCGCAAACTTTTCCTTAATGGAGAAGTCAGTGATCTTTACTTGGAACAGATTGAATCTGTGAATATTGATGCTGAAAGCCTGATGAATGTGATTGAACAGCCCCTACTTGATGCTGAAACCCTGATGAATGTGATTGAACACCCACTACTGACTAAGGGCACAAATGTTGGAAACAACGTTTGTTTTGATCAATATAACACTATGGGTGGTGGGAGCAAATTGGAAAAAAAATTAAAAGTATGTTTTTAAAGATAGAAATACTGGTCATGGCTTCCTTTTAGTTTTTGTCCAATGAATTAAAAGTCAACGCAAATGTTAAGTAGTAAAAGAAATGTAAGATCCCTGGTATACATTGTACTTTTAACAATGCTTATGATCAATATCAATAAAATAAAATAAAAGTTATAATATGTAACTTGATATTTGTTAACTTCGCTCGATTTTACTGTGTCCAACATTTGATATTAAATCTTGTGTGATATATGAGAGGGATAGCACACAAGATTGTATCAATGTCAATGAAAGCAATTATTTCTTAAGTTTTCAACCATATTTCTTGAAACTTCATTTCTAAATTTCATACATCAATTGTTCAAGACAGTTTTAAGGTCAATTTCATTCAGTCAAGGTGAAGGCTACAGCTTCACAACCTGTTCATGTACATGTGACAGAGAAATTGTCAGTGCATTCCTAACTAAGTATTCAAACCAAATTTTATAAACCTTGATCCATCATTCTCAACATTAAATCATGCACTACCTGTTTGCATATACACAAGCAACCTCAACTTTCAATAAGTCCTGTTGTCAACATTTGTTGCACAATGCTATCAGTTCTGAAACCAACAATCATGACAACTGTAATAACATAGTATGTGTTCTAGCTGGTACATTTGCAGTACTCTTTTGAAATGTATTTGAAATTAATATGTGCATCTTATTTCAAATGCTAGCCTATGAAGATGATAAAGCTGAACATATGCTATAAAGTTGTTGTTTTCTTTGTGAAGAATTTATGCAATGGAAATAGAGGGAAAATAATGTAACTCTCCTAATCTTGTGTGTGTGTGTGAGTATGTATGTTTATATTTTGTTTATCTTATTCAATATTGAAACATACAACAATGTATCATATTGAATTAGAGTGCTTTTTATATTATTTGTTCATGGGAACACAGATTCAAAATAGTTCCATTTTTCATAAGAAGAGACCTTTTCACTGCAGTGAATATGTAAAACACTTTATTTAAAAGTTTTTCAAAATTATTGAGAGACTTGTAAATTTATGGGTAGCAGTAATCCACTTGCTTATCCACAATTTAGTTTCGGCAAGTAAACATCCTTATAAATATTGTTCTGTAACAATATACACTGACTGATGCAAAATTGAAACTTGAACAAAATTCACACGTATTAAAAAGCATGCCAACCCTGGTCGATGTGCACACTTTACAAGATAACTTGCTTGAATATATATTGATCAATATACAAACTTAGACGATAAGTTCAAAGTTGAGTGAAATCCATGCCTAATTAATTAGCATACTGTACTCTGATTGGTCAATGGTTTTATGCCAAGTAACTTTGTTAGATAAGGCAAGGGTTGATATCTTATTCAACAACAAAGGCAAAGTTCAAAGATGTTCACAATCTGTGCATAATCTATTCAATGGTTTAAAATAATCAGGTATTGGTCAAAGGGGTAAATGCCAGTTTCAGTTTTTAATGTTCTATGAAATACATTGTATGGACAAAGGGAAGCAATTCCAAATTCCTATGCAAATTAATTATCCAAAGGTTTAAAATGATATATTCTAGAGGAAACTTGGTACCACTCTTCTGACAAACCTATAAAGATATACTGTACACACAAGAAGAATAACTTCACAGTGGTACACTTTTACATAAAACTTTGATTCATAACAAATTAACAGTAAATCCTTCTGTACAATATGATGGGAACTTCGTCTTTATTTTGTTCTCCATTCCAAAAATAATATATATATCTTTTGCCTTAGCTTTCAGTACTTTCAGTACTTTGATTATAAGCAGG